TTCAGCTAGGTCAGCATGATGACAACCCCCATCTGTCTGATCTCACGTTCCTCTCACACAGGGGAAGGCAGAGAGGAGGAGGAGGATGGTTCCTCATGAAGGCCCATACCTGAGTCTTAAAACTTCATCCTTTGCTCCACAGGAGGGTTCGTTTGTTTGTTTTTAAAGTAGTCATTCTCCATGAACTCATGACGATTGAATTTAATAAAAACATCACAGTTCAAAACAGACAAATTAGAAACCACCGTTCATCTTCGAAATTAATATGTGAGTGAATTTAACAAGAGATGAATTGCGCTGTGGTGATCTGGTCCCTCTTCACCCACTCTGAGCACCAGTTGTTTGTCATTATTGCTGGAAATATGATTATTACTCTGGTATTGCTTGACATTTATTAAGAATCCAGGGACTGTGCCTCCATAGCAGAGAGAAGTGCAATTATCTGGGCATTTGGAGAAAAGAATATTTCCTGTCCTGAGTTGTCCAGTCTCCTAAAACTCCTTTGCTCTTCCCATCTCCACTCCTACAGGCTAATGTGGACCCCAAGTCTTTTGTCACTGGGTACACATCGTAGCTTCTTCAAAACAAGCTGCTAACATTTTATGGGCAAACATTATCCCCTGGCACATGATTTACCAACAAAAAAGGGATCGCATATAATTGTTTGTTCATTAGCCACTTCATCTAACTCAAACCAAGTTTTCTTTAAGAACTCTCACTTAAAGGCAAACATACCAATCTTAGGTTGACACAGCGTGATAGACAAACTAGGTGATATTCTATTTATTGGCCATTTCACAATCTGAATTTCACCTTTAAACATGGTTATGGGAGTGAAGGCCGAAGCACCCCACTTCTTTACCCTTGACTGTCGTGGATCTGCAATTGTCTGCTGGCTTCGTTGGATTGCAAGAATCTTGGCCACATGGAGTGTATATATTCTGGCTAGAGAGTGACCAACTGGGAGAACTTGGCCCAGCTGAGTGTTTGTTAGCTCTATTTCAGTCTCCCAAATCTTGACCATTGCCTCTGTTTTCCAGGCCCTGGTGACAGAGATGGTTAGTGCTCTTGAGTTGCCTGTTTCATTGTGGGGGCTAACTGGGAGCAGTCATAGTCACATGCAGTACTTCCTCGGCAGGGTTTGCATTTCTCAGTGGGGGTTCTGCAGAGACATGCTGGGGAAGGGAAGATTATTCATAATTCTGGTTAAATGGCACTTATGAAGAACCTATATAGACATGGTGTTCTCAGTGACTCGTCATTTGACTGCATGTCACAGTAAATCAGATCCCTCAGATTCTCAGCCTGTACCTGGGTGGAAGATGAGCATTCAGTATGACCAGTGAGACAGTGCACTCTCCTGGGGGGTGGAAATTCCTCCCACAGTCACAGTTTCACTCCTGCCTCCATGAGTGGGCCAGTCAAAGGAATTAGTTGGAAACTATCTCTTGTTTCTCTGCCATAGAAAGTTAGATGTTAGAGAATCTATATTTGACCCAGATAGTAAGAAGCATTTCTTATTTTTCCTTTACAGAATTATATTTTAAAATATTAAAAAATTATAAAAATAACTGCCTACCATAGACTTATGTTATAGAAGGTCACATTTTAAAATACATGCATAAAATGGAAAACATGTTGTCAACAATACTGTTTTGATTCTCTTAATTATTCCTAGAGAACACTATCATCTGTGGCTTGGTTAATTCTGTACTGTTCTTTCATACATCCACCAGAACATTTTCCTGAGATTAAATAACACTTCTTTGATAATTGTCTAATGAAATGGTTTACTTGTGCAAATGGAAGGGAATAAAGGTTTCCAAAAATTATTTCTATTTAAATATGAGAATGTTATTCGATGTAATGAGTTGTTTACACCCCCAAATGCACAGAACTGTGTGCAGCTGAGAGAGCAGTGCCTCCTCTCTTTTCATCTCAGTTTCATTATGGTCTCATATGGAAGGATTGTGAAATTATACTTTTGATCTTGGAATTACTTTTATAGATTTTTCATGTTCATATTTCATTTTCATATTCAATACTGGCACATAATTAGTATCATTTGGTGCTACTATAAATGAGATAGGCGAAAAACATTGCCCACTGCTATCTGGGCATGCATCTTTTGATTTTCTTGAGATAAATGATTAGTCAAAGAATTACAATGAGATGCTGAATGTTTCAGCACATCATAGGGCCAATGCAGATGAAGACATGGCATTTTCTGTTCTTGAGCTTAGTACCAGATAGGCATATGTACTGCATGGCTGGAAAGGCCCAGTCCTGGAATCATAGCACCATTTTTTAAAAATAGAATCTGAGCTACTTCTCTTAATATATTGGCGTTTGTTGTTTCTGTGATATCTGTGATTACACGACTAATGATGCTTTAAACCAACAAGTGTAATAATTGTCATCAGTGGACAATATGTATTTCCTGTGGGAAAATTGGTGTAGGAAGGTGACTAGCAGCTGCAGCTGGCAGTTGCAGGAATACCCTGGCAAAAGTGGATACCACCAAGTATGATAATCTAAAGGTGAGTCTGCTTCCAGATGGAATGTGCCCTGTTCCCCTTACTGGACTCTGATCTGTGTCCTAAAGCTAAATCCTTTCTTAAGTAGGTCCTCTAAGAATGTACCACTGGCAATTTTAACACAATCAAGTTTCCCCCTTGCATCTCGTGATGGCTTTTGGAGGCTAGTTGTTCTACTTCAGAGGTTCTCATACTCTTTACTGCACAGGCAGTTGCTAAGCAATAACCATTTAGCTCCCATAAGGGATGCAGAGTCTGCTTTGAATTTGTCCCTTATCAATGTACCAGATTCACTGCAGCTCAGGCAGATGGGCCTCTGCCCTTGAAAGATCCAGACTGACATCTTCCTGTCTCCTCTTCCTGCGTGCGATGACTGTCTGGGATCATCAGGAAAGTAATGCCTACTTAGCATTATGGAGGTATCCAGGGTGGAAAGGACCTGGGAAAAAGGCTCATGGTGGCAGAGCCCAAAGATTTATCTTATGACTCAGACATTTTCTGTGTTAATGGATTTACCCCTCATTTAATCTCAGTTTTCTCTTCTGTAAAACAGGAATGATCATGATATAGGTGTGTCATGGAACTAAATATCAGATGTGACATTACAGAGGAAAACTCCCTTGTCACTTGTAAATTGCTTTGTGGATATTAAACAATTGGCTATATTGTTGAGAGAGCAGACCATAAGCTACCACATATTTGCATTATGAATATACTTAGCTAATCTGTTCGGGAGTTCTTGGTTCATTCTTGCTTGTGCATCAAAGTCTTCACTGTCCTGCTCCAGGGCAAGCAGAGCCGTTGTTGCTTCTTACTCCAACCTGGCCGTGGCTACAGCATCAACTGTGATCCGCTTTACTGTCCAGTGTTCTTACTGCAAATCCTCGGTAATCTTCACATCGTTTTCTCCAGCCTCCGAGCAGGAGGAGCCTCGTCATCTCTCTTGCAGGGCTTCTGTGGGCTACCACTCCTTTCTTTTCTCATCCTGTAGAATATGTACTGACTGTCACCACTCTGTGTCTTTTTCAACCTTCTTCTAATGCCATGCCCCGTCAGTACATTCACATACTTGTATTGTAGTCTTCCTACTTAGCCAATGGCAATGCCAGCACTTCATTAAGATCTCCTCCATTTCATCCACAGAATCATATATGGCGTTCATTTTTGTACTCCACTGTCTGGAAAACAATAGGTGGACAATGAAGATTTCCCAAACTAAAAAGCAAGGAATAAACTTGGAAATCATAGATGTAGTGTCTGAGCAAAGTGCAGATCAGAGACATTCCTAAAATTTTTTGGCCTACTACTCCTTTTCAGAAAAACATCATTCACCTTCCCGGAAATCTACCTTCCTTAAGCAAACAATCAGATAGAACTTCCACAATCACACTGGAAGCTACTACTCTCCTTCTTGGTTCCAGTGCGGTGGTATCACCCACTTTGGAAATTCTGGTGTAAATGGTCCTGGGCTGCAGCAAATATTGACAGAGATTTAGTTAAATAGAAAAGATTTAAGATAAACTCATATAACTGCTTCTATAAATATTAATTATGAATAGAATATTTAAATGAGTTTTTATCAACTGACCTTATTCATGACCAATCTCATCCTAAAGATCCTCCTCTATGACCCTTTTTAGTTTATGGAATGTTTCAATTTAATTACAACATCTTGCCATTATAACATTTCATATGCCATTTTATAAATGACAAAACTTTAGAAACATTGTTGTTACTGTGTCTGGCATATCGAATACTCTCGGTAGCTTGCCGGGCTCTCCGAGAGGGGCGGAGGAATCGACCCGAGTTCGATTCCTCCGCCCCTCTCGGAGAGCCCGGCAAGCTACCGAGAGTATTCGATATGCCAGACACAGTAACAACAAAGTCTCCAATGGAGACGTTACTGGGCCCGCTCGAGCAAATCGACGATCAACGGGAGGGCCTTTTTAGAAACATTAAGTTATTTGCCCATCTACTATGATTTTGCAGCTTCTTCCCTTTATTACTTTGTGGTGCATGCCACTATGTGTTGCATGATACTCTGGAATCACTGGTGCTTCAGCTTTAGTGTAAAACTATTGTTTTGTGGCACTCCATCCTGGGGTTACCAACGTCTTTCATTAGGGAATGAATTTCTTTTGGTTTTGAACTTTCTTATTTTCTTCTCTCTCACTTTCTCTCAAAAACCCCAATTTCTCCTTAGAATTAATATCCTCCCTCAATCAAACTGTTTAACTGAAAAAAAATTTGTAGCTATAAATGGAAGCAACCTATAAGTATGTATGTATGTGTAAATATATTAGCATACATAAAATCTTTGTTCATCAGCATCCCATATGGTCCCCCTGAATGCTACTAGTGAGTGCAAAGCCTGGAGTAAGTCTTGAGCATTGCTTAGTGTCTCATAAAAATTAAAAACAAAACCACAGCATTAGTAAAGTGTTAACTTTCTTTCTCTTCCAGGATTTTGTGTCTTGCATTGAGAACCACAGAAGAAGAGGACAAGAACTCTATGCATCTTTATACAAAGATCATGTGCAGGTAGGAAACAAGACAGTTCCATTTTTCATATAGCAGACTGGAATTCACCTTAAACCTGAAATAAAAAAGGAAGGACCCTTGATTTTAGCTTAAATCGATAGGGTCAATAATTTGATCATCAATGATTTAGTCCTACTTAAATTACCTGCGAAGTGGATTTGTACTCAGATTATGTATTAGAAGCTCAGGATATGGGCAATAGCTAAGTAGGCAGTAGTAACTGAGGAGATACTGTGTCCATAATCTCACTCATTTATCCACTAGCGTATATGCAACTAGAGCTGGGGTTTCTCAGATTTTGTTCTAGATGCATATTTGTAAGCACAGACATGAATCTACCTCTCAGATTCCTCCATCCCTCTTGGAGAGCCCGGCAAGCTACTGAGAGTATCCCGCCTGCATGACAGAGACTGGCAAGATCCCTGTGGCATATTCCATATGCCAAAAACAGTAACAAGAAGTCTCACGATGGAGACTTTACTGGTGTCCACCTGAACAAATTGGTGCACAACAGGAGGACAGTGATACAGTGATATACACACACACACGTGTGTGTATACATATATATATATATATATATATATATATATATATATCCTTTCTTTCTTCACCCTGTAGAATATGTATTGGATATAGATATAGATCAAATGCATCCATAATATTAGATGTATTGGATATCCAGTAATATAGATGTATATGGGCTTGAGCGATATCACAGTGGGTAGGGCATTTGCCTTGCATGCAGCCAACATGGCCAACCCGAGTTCAATTCCTCTGCCCCTCTTGGAGAGCCCGGCAAGCTACCGAGAGTATCTCGCGCCCACGACAAAGCCTGGCAAGCTACCCATGACGTATTTGATATGCCAAACACAGTATAAGTCTCACAATGTTACTGGGCCCTCTTGAGCAAATAGATGAACAATGGGAGGACAATGACAGTGATATATATTTCCAATACCATATGCACATATATGCATATATGTATATATACATACACATATCCAATAACTTCACAAATATATGTTTATACTTGTGATTAGCAAAATAAATGTAAAGTGAGTGATTAGAGAAGAGAAAGAATTTAATTTGGACAGACTAGAGACTCTCTTCAAGAAAGGTACCTTTGAGACTTAAAAGAGGAATTTTAGTTGTAATGTTTTTTTTTTCTTCTTGGACCATACCTGGCGATGCACAATGATTACTCCTGGCTCTTCACTCAGCAATTACTCCTGGGAGTGTTCAGAGGACCATATGTGTTGTTGGGAATCTAACCCGGGTCGGCCATGTGCAAGGAAAATGCCCTTCCCACTATGCTATCACTCCAGCCCCAGTTGTAATGTTTTGAGGAAATTATTTTGGCCAGGACAAGGGCATGTATGTAGGTCCCTAGTCTGAAAACACCTGCATGACATAAATTAACTGACTAAAGATTTTTCTGACTGAATTAGGAAGGCATAGGGAAATGGAGAAGGAAAGGAAGGACTAAGAACAAGAAAAGATATGCATTATATTGAGTTTTTTTGCATTCTGTCTTAAGATTAATGATTACCACCAGTGAGGGTAAGTTTAGAAACTGTGGGCATATTTATTGTACTGCAAAAGTAAGGAGTTCTGGTGGTCAAGTCAGCGAGATTGTTATTCAAATCTCTAGGTCTGCTCCATCCAAATCTGCAATCTGAGCTCTAGTCCCATATTTAAGATGCTGTAACACTACCTAACTGAAAAGATTAAAGAACATTTAGAAAGTGCTTAGATAATGGTTGGCAGAGAACATGTGTCCCATATGTGGTTATGGAATTGCAAAGAAGTTAATCATTAGTTAGTTTCATTTTTTAGCAAAAATTTAAGAGTGATGGCTAAAATGTATTGTAGAGTATTAATCATGTTATTTACTTTACAATGAACTCTGTTTCAAAGCTAGTGGCAGTTACCAGAAAGGCAGAGATTACAATGACACTGCTCAAACTTGAAGGTTTGTAATACTCAGAAGAGGGACCAAGTAAAGAAATAGTCATCGACCAGGTGATGAAGACAGTATTCAATTGTTTGTAAGGAGAGGAGCTCTGAGGTAGAAGGGACTATTGCTTTGGGGAGGATGAAGAGTCAAAGGATGGTGGAAGGATGTTGTCAAGTGCTAGGACACTGACTTAATTAGGTGTTATTTAGTTAAGTTAGATTAAGACCCTCAGGCAGGTCTTTTCACATCAATGAGCCATTACTAATCGTCACCTACTTCATTCAGGAAGAGAAAGAAAGCTAAAAAATTTAATGTTCCTGGGTGTGGGGGTGGGGTGGGTATCAGGATGGAGTTGGAGAGTACTGGAGTAATGCATCCTTTTACTTGTCCAAAATCTTTTAACATGCATTGCACTCAAGAGAGGTGGTGTCATTTTTTCCAACTTCTAAATCAGCCTCTAATTGAACATATGACCATTTCCCTTCCAATGGTTGGGAGAATCTCGAGGGTTTGGTTTGGATAGGATGGTGAGTTCTTTGGTATTTCATGGTATCTCCAATGTTGGAAGCTTATGTAGGATCGTCTCTAAATCTTTAAGCCTCAGCAAGTCTGTAGAAAAGGATTCAGTGTTCTAAAACAGCATTTCTCAACTGGAGACCTCCTAGAATATTCCAGGGGCTACAAGTAAAAATTGTATAAATAGAGAGCCATGGCACAAGACTGGGGTATTAACTGATAGGACAGGGGGGTCTCAGGAACTGAACAAGTTTAGAAGTGGGCCACATTTGGAAAAAGGTTGAGAAATTGTTCTAGAACATTGATCTGGTTTATTGTGAGCAACAGTTATAACCAGGGATCGGAGAGTACTTGTGAAAGTTATACAGTGTTTTTCTATTGACTGAGGTATTTTTGAGAAAATAAGCATTCTGAGGTTAATCCATAAGGATACTTTCCAAGTGTTTAAATATTTAAGACAAATTGTCTTGATTTTAAAGGAATGCAGATATAATCACTGTCTGCCAGAGATAATGGGGTCTGGAGCACTCACCCCATTTTTAAGGGGTATTATATCTTCCCAGTGTATAATAGTCAAGTCCAAATTCTAGGCAGAAATCGTCCTGTGAAATCTCACACATTTTTCACTGTCAGCTTCTAACAGGACCGCCAAAATGTCCCCCCACAAAAGGGGCCTATTTAGAGGACCTTGGATAAGTCCAGTGAATTTTGTCTGATTTAACATTTCACTCACTTCCCAGAAGTCACTGGAGTTGGTAGATACTCACAGCATACTAAGAAGGCATTACTCAGTGCCCAGGAAGTTAGTACAAGAGACATTATGACACCAGCAACTCATGCAGCTCTGATATTCAGTGACCCCAGGTTCTCATCTATTTAGAAGTGCTGAGAAGTGCTGCTGAAAACAGCCTCTTCAAACTGAGGCAGCCTATGTTCCCCTGGGCTTTTTTTTAAAGTCGATTACTTCTCTTTTCTGTGGTCTAGCTGCTTTTGTTCTGCTTTCTTACTGCCCAGACCAACCTGTTGTTTTTCTGCTTTCTCTATAGTTTTTACTTGAAATCAAATATCACCTATTCGATAAGGTTTTATTCAAGTGTGAATAAATAAATGAAATTTTATTGAGATATGTTCTTCCCTGTCCTTTAGTTTTAGAAAAAGTAGCCACAAACTTTTTTTTATCACTTTCACAAATTGAAATAGGTGTACATTATTTTATTATTACATTTAAATATTAAACTGGCAGGCTACTGAATGTAACCTGCCCACATGGCAGAGTCTGGCAAACTCCCCGTGGTGTACCCAATGTGCCAAATACCAGTAACAATGATGGGTATCATTCTCCTAACCCTGAAAGAGCCTTGAATATGGCACTTTTGAAAAAAAAATCTCAGGGCTAGGACGAAGGAGACGTTACTGGAGCCTGCTCGAGGCAATCGACGAACAACAGGATGGTTGTGATCATGATTAAATATATAAATGTTTATGATAGTGCCAATGTTATTATTTTACTAGCAGTGCTATTACACCATCAGAGTGCCAAGATCTCCCAACCATGATCCCAACTGACCATGTCTTAGAGTTGGTTTCCATAAGGGATTATCTAGTTCCTTGCTTTATTTCCTTATATTTCCATATATATGTACAAGCTCATCTGACATTTGTCTTTTTGTTTCTGACTCAGTCAGCATGACAGTCTCTGATTTCATCTAAGTTTCCATAAATAACAAAATTTTATCTTTCTTGTAGCTGATTAGTATTCCATTGTTTGTCAAACACACACACATATGTGATTTATTTATCCACTCACCTATTATTGATGGGTTGTTTGTAGATCTTAGCCATTGCCAATAATGCTGCAATAAACACAGGTATGCATGATTTTGTGTTCCTGGGATAGGTACCCAGGAATTTGGTCACAGGAGTCTTGGAAGCATTTTTTCTAGTTACTTTAAATCACTTAGTCTTGATTGCATTTTAAATAAAATCCTTTGATCCCAAAAGCTACTACTCCATAGCTTGTCTCTTCCGTGGTTTCACCTTTCTGCCAGTTTTCACCCTTTACATGATCTTTGAGTCAGATTAGACAGTGATCTCAAATGATCTCCCTTTCCTGTCTGAGTCAAGACAAATACTCATCACCTATGCCCTAACTAATTCTAGAAGGACATCTGGTTCCAGGTGTCCAGGAACTCGTTTTCCTTCCTTACCTCTCTTCAGCTCTTCTCCTTCTCTAGATTCCTGCTTATATACCCAGCAGCTTCTATTCCCTTCTGGTTCGTGGTGTCTTTCTTTCCAACACTGTTGCCAATATTCAGCCTTCTGTATAGATCTCCCTTCCCAAATCCAGCCTCAGCAGTTCAAAGGTGACTTTGATGCTGCTGGCGAACCTAGGTGATGTATGTGAGGTGGAGAGGAGAGAGGCAGAAGCTCCAAGAAGGAAATCTACTATTTGCTCTTTTTCCACCTCTGCCAGTAGGGGGATGGTTGGGGAAATCTAGAACTGGTAAGAGTCGGCTGTGCACCTTGC